ACAGGTTCCTCCATCACAAAATAGAAAATTAGTTCCATCAAAGTACTCAGAGGAAGCCGTGATTTCTCGAAAAAGGTTCCATGATGAATGGAAGTGGTCCTCTTGCAACGGGCACAGCGAAAAGCGAAACCATCCTGGCTTCGGGAAAACTCCTGTAAGTTCATACTATGGTCACACGCACAAGTCCGTACTCTAGGCAGTAAGTGCCGGTCCTGCATGTACTCAACACACGCTGGGCCTTGTATTTGGTGCAGCATTCTGTACATGTTGGAACCGACCGACATGTTTCAAGGTCACAAATTAAAACAAATCAAACAAAAACACACTTCTTTATTTCATAAAAATATACATTAAAATATATATTTAAAAAAATATTTCAAATTTTTACAAATGCCCGTTTTTGGCTTGAGCCAAGAATAAGGAAATCAGAGGGGGGGGGTGACGGATGGTAATGTGCGCCTAGATTGACACGACGTCGATTTAACTAGCGCGTCAAGGTCAGAATATAACATCAACAATTATAAAGGGCGGTAATGCAGTTAAACAGAAATAGAAAAAAAGGAAAAGCATATAAATTTTAGGTCTCGTATAGAGCGCAGCGAGTTGGGATATGGTGTAGCGCAAAAATGGATAAATGTTGAAGTTTGGGTAATAAAAGATTCACAAATCTTTTACATGGGTCCTACTTCCAATACATGAGTAATACATCTTTTCGATTCCCGTAGCTATAAATGACACGTATTTGGTATCCGTATTATTTGTGAACTAAGAATTTAAACTGTCTTTTTGTTGGTCAGCCTAGACCTGAATTGAATGTGTTTTTCAGTTTTTGTTCACTAAAGTGCTCGTGTGTTAACGTGCACTGGATTTTCTCAACCACTGATTTCTGCGATGGGATTTGAGGGTATGATGACTATCACGGAAATACGGTCTTGTGGATTTGCTAATAAATAACTAATCCTCTTTACACAAGAATCTGAATACACTTCCCTTCCCTGAACCACATCTGCGCCGCATTTAGGTGCCCAAGAAAAACGCTGACATTCAGTTGTTCCGGATTTTAGTTTTTCGTTGTATTGACCGTTCCCGCTGGTGTATTCACCACTGGGAGTTGAATTATTTTTCTCTCGAGTCATTGGTCTGCCGCCTTTCTTCTTCCACAGTTTTATGAACCCAGTTCGACTTGGAGTAGGTGACATTTGCACGCAGGTTATATATGTAATAATACGGAATAGGGGATATCATTTTGACGTACTGTTTGACTGTGTGTCGTTTGCGTGGTGGATAGAATTACTTCATTTTGTGTGGTTTTCAAACCAAATTATTTGTTATGGGGGGATCGGAATGCAAATGAATCAAACTTCTGGTTAGGGTCAAGGCGAACCATTTTCGGTTTGTTTGGTCGAATCAAAGTGACCGGGGTCCATCACAATCTACCAATTCGCTTGTCGGAACTGATCGATTAATTGAACACACGGGTAGGCTCTCTTCAATTTCATAACTTGCCCTGTTTACCAATCTAGTACACAGGCATAGTAGCAAGAAGGCAGTTTCCAGTAAGGATCATTTCCATTGAACTGATGGAACATCTGTCGGATATCATCCGTCAAGTGAATAGAGGTACTTTCAAAGTGGTCTACTAAGCACTTCTCAGTCCACTGCTTGCTGCACCACAAACGCCTTTCAGGAACAGTCGAGGCGGTGGTTCATTCGTCTGATCAGTCCCTCACCGTGTTTCCGTGAGGGATTTATTCCCGTGCACCTGCTGTTATAGTCCCATTGGAGTGCGATTCTTTGATTGGGGATGCTCTTCGCCACAGTTCTGTGACTTATAATGGAAATGAATAACATTGACCGTAACCGAAACTTCATATGCTTTATTCCTGTTCCGATGTGCTGAGCACTCACTTTTGTTTACAAAACCCACAGTCCAAAAATTATGCTGACCAATTAGATCGCACACAAAAGTAAACATCATGGTAACACAATTCACCCTCCCCATCTTCTGAAAAGTATGTAGTCGTAAACACATCATTCGCATCTTCAATCTTTTTCGAATGAAATCTGATAACCTCTAGTGAGAAAGTATAACATCACGCACTCCACACTGGTTTCCGTACGACTGGATTTAGTTCGTCTCTAGTTCCATCGGTACTCACTCGCCCCATGGGGACTGGTCCTCCTCCCTTTCTTTTGGGTGAAATAAATCACACATCAAAAAGATAGATCTGAGCGCAACCAATCGGTTCGATCAGTTCCAGGTGCTTTACATTAGCTATGCACGCAAGTCGCGTGGAGAGAAGCGAGCTGCATGTTGTGTCGAGGCAGCGGAATAATGGTGATGTTACACGCCAGGTTCAATTATGCGAATGAGTTCTTTATAAGCATCAAAACACGTTCTTTGTGGCTGCCTAAACTTCATCCTATGTGAACTACTTGTTGCTAGTTGTTTTTTGGCTGCGGAAACCTGATCTAGACAGCATTGCACCCCTGCGGATAATAAAGAGCTTTTGGAGAATTAGGCTATTTCATTCAGGCATGTGCTCCCCATGATGGATAAGTGCAACAACCCCGAACACTCCAACCGCAAACTCCTTTCAAACCTTACCCGAGTTCCAGAGAACTAGACTGTGCGATGCGATTCGCAATCAGTGTCCACTAAACCGTGTGTGCGCCCCTTGTGTATCTGTGAGAATCAGGGTTTAGCCACTGCTCATCATGGTAAAGCGTAACACCTGGAAGCAAACTTCGCTGATCGCTACCAGGCTCACGATGCGTGGCTTGGGAATGAATTAGGCCTTTTTGAGAAAAGGTAATGGAAAGCGAAACTCTGTGGTCGACACATGTGCATATACATTTTTCTAGCATTATGATCCAGTAAGAAGTGACATTGAGAACACCACGGATCTCGGGTCGTTGTCGCATCCTTCAGTTTGCCCAGTTTTGGGTTTTTTGGACCCCAGCCTGAAAGACAAGAAACACCTCTACCTAATCGCTCTCTACGATTCTTCATGCCTCGTTTCCACATCATTTATTGACCTCTACATGGTTTTCTCCAGCCCGAAGTGGCAACTCAAAATAAGATGCAGTGCGGTAGACTGCAGCGGGGCCTACGCAGTGTTCTGACCAGCAAAGCCCGTCCAATATGAATTTGATGTGATGGCCAGTTATCCGCCGAATCATTATCAAATGCACGGCGTCTTACCTCAGCGCTACTATTCCACTCGTTTTATTCCCTCTATGCCACAGTACGTAAACATCGATACTCGAAGATTTCGAGACAAAACGTCTTCTAGGCGCAAACCGTAGGGCATAACCCGCTTAACAGTGACGCAATATACACAACCTTTTAATTTAAAGGAAACCTCTCTTCGGCGCCAATGGGTTTTGAGTGCTTCTTGTCGGTCATTGTCCCAGCAAGATAGGGTACCAAAGAGTTTCTGTAGACAAATGTCTCATATGAGATAGAATATTGTCAGCAAACTTCAAGCACGCATCAATATGACTATCACAAATGATGTCTATCAGACCAAGTAAGGGAACTTGTAAATGAATCTACGTACTCTAGAAAATATTTTTCTAATTGTGCTATACACATATGATCTCCTGCTTTTAGGACTTATGGAGCTATCGGATTGTTACGTGATGCACCTGGATACAACACTATACGATTTATGCCTGCGACGTCTGCGTGTTATGGGTCCATCAAGGACGGTTTTATTGACTCTGCCAACGAAAATACTGTGAGTTTGCTTTTGATGAATAAATGTCATTTGAATTTCGATGCTTTTTCTCTTGTATACTGTTTTCTGATTTACTACGGAAACGTGTTGCTTTTGCAACACCCATATTTTCTGCAACTTCTCTATCATGCTGTGTTTCACGCTGCACCTTCGCCCTGGCAATATCATACCGACTTCCATTTCGGTAACATGTTTGACACCCGTCTTCGAAAGCATACATGCATCCATAGGGGATAGGATTATGCTTGTTGTCCATTGAGGTTATACAACAATAAGCAACGAGATACAACCTTTTTTTTAGCTCCGTTCACTCTTGTAATAATGGAAGCGTATTTTGGGATCCTTCGGCGCCTCGGAGTAGACGGTGATGCGCTACAGGATGTTCCTGACTGGTGTTCTCTCTAACTGAGGCAATATGAGACTAAACGGTCGACGGACCGGCGGGGGAGCGGCAATATGGTTAACGGGACGACGGGGTATGGGATTATAAGAAACCACCGGTTGACAGTTTCTCCTTGGGTCGGGGTTAGAAATAAATGTGTGCAAGGCAAATGAAACAGAGCAAAATGAGCCAAAAACGTTCAGTGAGATGTAAGCTCGGTTTCCAGGTGTTACGCTCCCTTGAACTTTCTGTCATGCACGTAGTCGCACAACTGGTCGTTGGTCTGACCGAATCCGGGAGATCGGTCGGGTGTCACAAAGGCTGTTCCAAAAGCAGCCCAACGATGGTTTCCTTGTGGTAAAACTTATGCGCAATCCAGTGAAAACGTTTTAGACCCGCAGATGGTCCTCAAATTCACTTTATTCCCTGGGGGAAACAGAAATCTAAGAAACGTCAACTAAGCATTTGCCATCTTCGACGTATGTCTATCGGAGGAACCTATGCATTAGGGTTTGTAGGTAGATAGCATCCGATCACATTTCTATTTTTTTTGCTCATGATTATCAACGATGCAACTGGGATTGTGTTCTCTTCATACGAATCATCACTCGTGCCTGTTGTGTTCTTTTCCCCCCTATTTCAGGCACGATCTCAAACGTCTGTACTACAGCCCATACGGAGTTGATACTTCCGGAAGAAAATCCACATCTGGTTGACCTGTTTAGGAGTCAACATCCTGGGCCAAATACAATTCAACTCTACTAGAAATAGTTGAAACCAATTCTGGTCACTGACTGAACTAATATCATCCAGCCTTGTTGCCCCACATGTAAAAAAAGATTTACCTCGATTCGTTTTATGTTTATTTATGTTTACTGCGGTTAAGGAGTTGTTCCATTAGTTGTGTTTACTACTCTATTGGCTTGTTGTAGAAAACCAAGGTATATTTATTCCAACTGCAGAAGACCAATACTCATGGAATGTGCTCGTATCTTTTGTTTAAATCAATCTATGTACGTACATATATCTGAAAGAAAGATTTTCGGAATTTCGATTGTCCGCCGTCATTTCCCGGCCAATTTTGTTGGTTGATCTTCTACAATAGAAAAATATGACGGCCCGTGTGCATTGTACGGTTAGCGAAATCGTTCTGCTTGAGCGTTCCTTGTTAGGGTGAGCTCAGGGTCGTAATCGTCCGCAGGCTACTTCATCCTGCCTTCAATCTCGAGCTAGTTTGAATGACTCCCATTCCCACTATCTCTTCACTTTCTGTATTTTGAGTGTGCTTGTTATCCTTTTGCTAACGAAGTGAGTTCGAACTTCGTTAAACGACCATATCGTAAATGTAGTTTAGGTAGCGCGGAGCCGACCGTTTACATTGATGTAGACGAAACGAAGTAACGCTATGCTTTGAATACTTAGGTCAGGTTGGGTGGGGACTCGCGACTGTTGCCAATACGTCCAGTTTCATACACTTGTGACCTCTGATGGGGTCCCGGTGTGCCTCGACAGCAGGAAAACTTCTTGACTATTCTCTAAGGGTTGTAAGAGAGAGAAATAAACCGCTAGGTGGTTCGAGATATGTGGAGGCCAAGGTATCCTTCCAGAAACCTCTGGCATTTGGATTGAGCACAAAGTTGGAGACCGCGTCAGTAGTTTTCCTGACATTCCAGAATCTGTGTAACGCAGTATTGGGAGAAATAACCCCCATCGATAATGCTTGATTGGTAAGGGTTTTTCTGATGAAAACTGGACTAGAGTTCAGTTCCATAAGCCACAAAGTAGAGATCTGCTTCTTACAAGGGCAGAAAATGTATGGTGAATATCATTCGAAATCTCCTCTCACGAACCCTTGGCGCGAGGAATAAAATACACGTCCGCAAGGCAGGATAAGGGAGGAGAAACAATCGGGGAGTAGCTCTGGTGGTGAGACAGGACATACACAACCGTGAGGATAATGTGCGGTGCACACAGAAAGCCGGATGTGTTCAGACCCGCTGATCCTACATACAATGAAGGTCATTACAGCATGAATCTAAAGAGGGCCTGAATGTACATCCGAGGCATATCAGGTAATCATAAGTGTCATAGATGGTATTCGCAAGCGGTGTGCGTAGTGGGGGATGTTCTCTTTCCAAAAATAAACTAGGTGGTTGGCGTTGCGCCAAACGGGACACCATAGTATGCGTTCCTAGGACGGACGCACTCAAGGGCCCTGCAACAACATGAGTGTTCTAAGTGAATAATGTGGGATAGACCATTCCTTCTCGACCAAGTTGTTGTGAGTAGGGAGAGCGGTGTAACCACTGCAACGTACTGCCAAAACTAGATAAAAGTGACCATGTAATTCTCATCGAAGATCGATGCATGATACATCGTATAGTTGTCATAATACCCAAAAGCTAATGGACGATGGACAATCATGCTGAAGGTTAGAACTGAAGTGGTGAAGCTAATCGACGATTACGGCCTGACGATAAGTCTTCTCACGGATCTCAAATTGCGCGTGACCTCCTACTGTTTCGTTGCGCGAGGTAGACAAAAACACTCGTGGTGGTCGTAAACGTTCATTGGCGTATCGTGGTACTAGAAAGTACCGAAAACGTGCCAATGTGACGGCTAAACAATGCAAGCAAATAAATGCAGTAGCAAAGCGAAAGCGTGTGACACGTGTTGCGTGGGTTTTGTCAGGACCCAGCTTATATATACACTTGAGCGAAAAACTTTGCTCAGTAAAACAAAGAGTGAGTAAAGCACCGAGAAATCTCAGGGTTGATTGTGAAGAAAATACAAACGGAAAACGTCCTCGTGGATTGCTCATTTACTTCGTACAATCATAGTCAAAACAGCGGTACCCGATCTTGGAAAATGCCTTTGTGGAAGGGTAACGGAGCCGGCAATTACAAATATCGTACGGGTAAGATAATTTCCTCTGGACCCGGGTAACTAAAGCAAACTGCGGTGGTGGAGCCCAACGTTTACAAGAGCGATACAGCGTACAATTAGGAGCTGGTTTTCCTTCAAACAATGGGCAAATGGAGATCCTGGATTCATGCAGTAATTGAAAAAGTACTAATTACGTAAAATAATTAATGGTCATAGCTGAAGCACAGAATCACACTAACAACTATAGGTCCTAAGTATCTGAAATCAAGATGCCGGAAAAATTGCCACGGAATTAGCGGTTAGTTTATAGAGGAAAATCAATGAAATCAGGCGATATGTACGAAGACAGTTCATTGATTCAACAAGCCCATTGGTCTCCAAACAGAAGGAAGGAAGACATGCAAGGAATTGGGTGACAGACGGATGGCTTTTCATCTTTCTCCTACGGAGAATCCTCAGATTCAGCAAGAATAAAAGCTGAAGGTTCCCGAGAAACAACGGATGAACTATTAGACGTAGGTATTCCCTCATTTCTTTACAACAATTTCCTCCGATTTGATCACGGTCGATTCATTGGTTACGTGAACTGAATCTTCTAATTGTTACGGATCTTCAAAGAGCAAACTGCTTGACAGGCAAATAGCACTGGAAAGGTTCGGGATTCTAGAATTGAAGGTGGTTTGGGGTCGCCGGCAGTTGTGCGAAAGCAGGTACTCACAAGTCGTATAGAAACCCAATCTAGATGAGAGAGCTGTAGATCCTCTAGGCTAATCAAGCATAATGAGGGCCTTTTAGTCCATGTTTCCGTCTCGGAGTTATCCGCGAGGAGACGGTTGTTGTCCCGCCAACGATCGCGCCTCAAACGAAACTGAACTGGGCCAAGCCCTCGGAATAACAGCAGAGTGGAAGGTACGGTAGTGGTAGTTAATCCGCGTGGGAATTTAGTTAAGCCAAGAACACGTCGGGCTAAGTTAAGACTGGGATCATTTTCCGGGGTTTCCAGACTGAGTACCTGATGAATGGAACTTGTGTGATCGACCAAGTGAGAAAACCGCTTAGTTCGTTCGCGCATGCTGTAATGGGGCGTTACAGTAGGAGTCACTTCAAAGTTGGACCGACTAAGAATGACTCATAGGATGTGTGAGTTCCGACAGATCTGAATCCGAAGGGGCTGTACTCACTGAAATCCGTTGTTCTCTTGAGTCCAGAAAACGCTTTGCATGGGCCGTTCCGTCCGAGAAGTTTGACTGATACAACCCCTTTTGGTTAAGACTGTGGTTGGTTGACGTTATAGCCCGCTGAAGCACTTTTCGATTGGTGACGAGCAGCGCCATCCAAGGATGTTGAAGCATGACTCAGTTTGTTTCATTAGTTGAGTAGATTCAGAAAGATCAGCTTCTTCTATCTCAACCTGAAAGACCCGAGAATCGGACTCCTTAGTCGATTTTTAATCAATCGGATTGGGCTGAATCGATAGATATCTCATTATTGGTCATTGGTTGAATAGGTGATGGGGCTGGTCAACAGTGACTGGTTTCAAATTTGTGGAGATCGATGGATCAGTGTTTTGGGTGGTGTCCGGTGAACATCGCTGGAATGTCAAATAGCGGTGTTCCCTGGTACCGTGACTCGTTTCCACTGCACGGTTGGCAAACACCCTACTCTCCCCCGAAAACAGCACATATTTATCAGCACAAGTTTCCGTAGCGGACTGAGTTTCTGGTAGCTCGAGCTAACCAGATAAGAGCGAATCAGTTACCCCAACAGGCGAATAATCCAGACTTGGATCCGAATTCCGAGCAAGTGGGATCCGAATTGTCCTCGGCCGATTTCGGTGCGTGAATTGGGGTACCACCAAACACCAAGGCGAGAGATGAACTAGCCAACTGGTCAGAAGTGATAGGTGATAGTATAGACTCCCTCAAGTGAGATATCGATGAAGATTTAACGGAAACGGGTGTCGGAAGATTGTGAGGCTCGCTTTCCCCTATAACCATGCATGGTGTATCGACGCGACCCTGGGTAACCGGTGAACGCGGATATATTTCATCGGGTTCGGTCTCAACAACCAGTAATTTTGATTCGATCGCCGGAGAGATCTGATGACTTGATTGTCCGCCGTCATGACACCCGACACTCACTTAACAGACGGGTGTACATTGCCGCGGTTCGTAACGTTTTCGTTTACGGTTGCGAGACTTGGCCCCTCCGCGTTGAGGATGCCAACTGACTTTCTGTATTCGACCACCGATGTCTCAAAATCATTGATAGTGTTTCGTGGGAACCGTGTAAGTAATGACGAGATTCTTCGTCGTGTTCTGAGCGCGGAAGGTCGTTCTCTAACAGAAGCAATCGACTTACACCGCCTTCGTTGGCTTGGTCAAGTATTGAGGATGCCGGCCCATCGACTACCCCTCAGTGCTCTTTTTGCAAGGGCCGAGTAAGTCTAGAAGAAGCGCTGCGGCAGTCAGACCATAACATGTCATACATGTATAAAG